GCTAGGGGGAGACTGGAAGAAGGTAGGCTTCCATTAAGTCCCACACCTACGATGCCAGTGGAGGCAGGCATAGAAGAGATCTCTATTTCCACCAGGAAAGCCTCCAGAATCCAGGGAAGGACAGGCCTGTAGTGTAAATGTCCCATTTAAGTCCCTCATCTATGATACATAGTAATGTACACAGATGTTTTCCATCTCCATCTGGGCAGCTTTTGAGCTGGGGGCACTGCTCGGTCATAGAACTTTTCTGGTTGTATGCTGTCTGCTTCCTTTTATAAGTAATAAAAGCTACTTTCCATGTGTTAATGTGTGTTCACCCTCTGATCAGAAGGACATGATATTTACGGAGCAATCCACATTAGTTATTAGTATCCTTTCTCTAATAGCCTCCTGGCTATTTAAAAAACGGGACAACCTGTGAGTACCATGCATCCTTGGCATGTTGTATCACAATTTTGGCATGGTACATCACCAGAATTTAAAAAAATCAACAATAATAGTTTTTACATAAAAACCCAAAACACAGGAATAAATCAATGAAATATATACAATACATGTACACCAAAACTACAAAACATTTGCTCAGAAATATAGACAATGTTCATGGATTGCAAGACACAATATTGTTAAAATGTCAATAATCCAGAATTAATCTAAAGATTCAACAAAATCACAATCTAAATTTCAGCAGGAATTTCTTATGGAAATTTTCAATTTTCAGAAAGCTGATGCCATGGTAAATTCAATATTTTGAATTCAATATTTAAATTCAATATTTAAATTCAAATGCATCAATTCTTCTTTGATCTTTCTTCTTCATTGTCCAACTTTTTCATGCATGTGAGGCAACTGAAAAGACCGCTACTAGGGATAGGTGCACCACAGTCACCAAAGTGACACCTTTGCTTTTTAAAACTTTAAGGAGCTCTTTTGCAGCAGATTTTCCCAGTGCAGTACATCATTTCATTTCTTGACTGCTGCTTCCATGGACATTGATTGTTGATCCAAGAGAAATGAAAACAGTGGCACCTTCAATTTCTTTACCATTTATCATGATGTTATTTATCGATCCAGTTGTAAGAATTTTTGTTTTCTTTAGGTTCAGGTGTAGTCCATATTGAAGGCTGTAGTCTTTGATCTTCATCAGCCAGTGCTTCAAGTGGTCTTCACTTTCAGCAAGCAAGGTTGTGTCATCTGCAGAGCACAGGTTGTTAATGAGTCTTCCTCCAATCCTGGTATTGCATCTCAGATTATTTGTTCAGCATACATATTGAATAAATAAGGTGAAAGGATACAACCCTACTGCACATATATACTGATTTTAAACTACACAGTATCCCCTTGTTCTGTTCAAATGCCTCTTGATTCATGTACAGATTCCATGTGAACACAACTGTGTTTTGAAATTCCCATTCTTTGTAATATTATCC